CTGCGTTAGCTGCTGCAACCAGGAGGCTGTCGGGGTGCAGTCTTGTTTATTGCGGCCGTTTGTTCTACCCTTGCTTGCTTCTCTATATGAAGATAAGCTGCCAGAGACAAGGCGTAGCGGGTGTAAGGTTGTTTGAGTAGATTATTTCTGTAAGATCTGCTACAAGGGGCAGACCGTACATCCTTCCACGTATAAGATTTATCTGCAAAGTGATGGAAATTGTCTCTTAAGGAAACTACTGACATGATAGCCAGGCACTGTTTCTAATTGGCTGCAGCACCTGCATGGGCAATAAAAGGTGGCATTGCATGGTGGTGTCAGCTGGTGCCCTGCTGGCAGCGGGTACGTGTCTGTGCCTCCTCCACATCCTGCCTGGTTCCACTCAGCGAGTTCACATCTCTAGTTCTAGCCAGAGTGAGGGTGGGAATGGAGGCGAGCATTGGCAGAACAGCGAATCCAGCCAAAATTCAACACAGCCCAGACAGCGACTGCAGCGACACAGTGCTCGTTCAGCCTGGGTTTGCTCACCTTCCTTTGCTGTGGGGACGGCTGTCCCAGCTTCCAGAGCCAGGTTTCTTCTGCAGGAACATCCCAAGAAGCGGGGAATGGGACACGTGAAGCTATGCGGTGATCCCTTCCCCCCAGTACTTCTTGGCTTTGGATTTTAGAAAGACCACAAACCCTTAGCTTATTACAAGTAATCCTGATCACTCCCATAATGATACACTACATTATATACTCTCCTAAACTTAATCATTCAATATCTCACTTCCTTCCCTGTAGGCATGTACTATTATATTTTACACATGGCTTCCAGCTGGTTTTCATTGCGGCCTTCAAATCGTATTTCAGAACAGCGCGACTTAAGACCAGTCATTTTATCTTTTAAAGTCAACTTCCATCATATTAGTTTTCCTGCAAGTTTTCTGCCAGGGCTGGTTAATTTGTTTGAAAAAATGACTTCGTCTATGAGGCTAAAGCCTGCCTGAATGAAACTTCATAATGCGGCATCTCTCATACCTGCTCTGTGTGGACGCTAGGAACACAGCAATGCCTGTAAACATGAAATCTCTTGAAGGGATGGAAAAAAATAAGTCCTCTGGGCACGGAAGGAAATCTATATCTTCACATTTGATTTGAAAGTAGATGGAGAGATGGTGAGGAGAAGGGGAAGGGGAAGTCAGCTCCAGATGTGGCGGCTGTGGCGGGGCTGCCCCACCTGTGGGCTGGAAGCAGTGGGAAGGAGACGTGGGTGGAAAGTAGAGGTGGGATCGCAGAGCCTGCAGAGGCCTCTGCTGCGAGGGGCCGCAGGGCGAGCCAAGGCTGGCACTGAGCGGGGCGAGGGGACACCGTGCCAGGGCTGTGCTGAGGATGCACTGCAGAGGGAGAGGGGATGGGGAAGGCGGCGGGCAGCGTGCCTGCCCCGTGGGACCTGGCTGCCCGTACAAGGAAAGCTGCACCTGGCTGTTGTTCTTATACAAGTTAGTGGCATGTTCAGGACACAGTTTGGAAGCGTTTAGCTGCGTTGGGAAATGTGCTGTAGCTGTTATCACAGAATAGACAGGCTTTCCTTTCTTGCCGTATGGAAGCAGAACAGGGCTGACTCAAAATACCGAAGGTTCGGCAGGCTGTGCAAAAGGGCGTGAGGTCGATGGAAATTGTAACCACAGATTTAAGGACATAATAACAACCCCACAATCTAAAAATCTGCAAGGTGAAAGCCGGGCAGTTTCTTTTATGAGGATGTGGTGCACAGAGCCAGGTACAAAGTAAGCAAATTGCTCACATCAAGCACTGTATTTTACAAATGTAGTTCAGAGCAAATAGCACAAAGCTAACTTAAATCTCATCTTGTATCATGTGCCTCAGTTGTTGATTCGTTTCCTATAGAAAGGCACACACTTAGATACCAAACAGCCCATTTTACTGGAAGGAGACAAAACCGATTGCAGCCGAAATCCAAAGGAAATTCTGCATATTTATCCATCTCTGTCAGTGCGTATGTTTAATGTCATATCACTGAAGTGCATTCTCAATGCCACTAGAAATCCAGAGCAAGCCCCCAGAAATCAGCGAAATCGTGAGATTTTATGCAGCATAAGAGCAGCTTTAGGGTTTTGTATTACTTAAGAAAACAGTAAGGCAAATGAAAAACAACCTTTTTGTAATGTTATACACGGATAGTTCCATGGTTATGTATTTTTCTCTTCTGGAAACGATGGAGAGGTCACGCCAGAGAAGGAAGGGTTAAGGAAAATTATTCTTTCCCTCCTGCTCTTGGCCTTCTTTGGTTGATTGCTTTATAGATGCTGTAGGCATCTCTTCATCTCCTTCAAATTAAACATTTTACTGCTGCTGATCCTGTATTGTTGGATTTTTTTCATCATTATATTTGATTGGAAGTCTTGTAACGTTTTTCAGGCTGGATCATTTCTCATGCTATTTGTCAACTGAAGAGGAAGAAAAACACACTTCTAACTCCAAGAATGAACTGAGTAATTCACACTGTTTCTGGATGTGTTTCTATCTGTGTTAGCTGCTACTTAAATTTAGCTTCTGATTAGCAGTGCTACATGAGCTTTTTCATATGACACCGTCTGTAAATTCACTGGCAGTTTGTAGTGTTACATCCTTCTCTTTTTGGCTGCTCTGGGCCTTATGGTGTCAGGGGGCAGGTCCAGAGGGCACTGCAGTGGAGATAACGTAGGTGGGGTCTGTGTTACAGAGGCATGAGGCTGGGTTCTCATCAGCTGGCATCAGCAAGCCCAGTACTTTGGCTCTCAGTGCTCCCTACTGATGTTGGTACAGATCTCACCCTCATCTGTAGTGCCTCTCTTTGGAAACATCAGTCCTTTCCTTCGAGAGCAATCCATAAACAAAAAAGAAATGCTCAAAGAGTAACTGAGCTATTCAGTTCACTGGAACGTTTGCTCTTTTATTGCATGATATGTAGTAAAACACAGAATACTAGGCATTCCCATATGAGTTTCTCCTATCTCCTAATCCTTGGTTAGTTCCATTTGACACGTGGAGTGTTTACGTGCTTGAGAGAAAAATTCATTGGCACCAAAACATATCTGCAGTTCTGCTCACCAGCAGCTCTTCCACGGTTGTACAGACCCTCTTGTCACTGGTGGCAACACCTACCTTTAAGTGCCTGCCATGGAGCTGCCTCCTTGTTCCAGTGCTTTCTGCCACCTCCATGAGCATCGCTCCGTGCCGCTGCTGTGTGCTGCAGTCCTTGGGACGTGCAGTGCAGTCATACAGGTGCTTCGCCCTGCCTCGTGTACAGGAGTTGGGCTGGGACGAAGCCCAGCATGCCCGCAGCGTGCTTCTTGCAGCCAGAGGCACAGGCAGCGCAACACAGCTGCTCTGCCAGGATGTGAGCTGCGCTGCGTTCACAATGACTCCTCCAGGCTCGGCTCCTTGGCAGACCGTGAGCAGCAGGCAGTGGTTGGGGCACGTCACTTTTCACACGCTGCAGCTGGAGATGAGCGGTGGTGTACGTTACGGTGACATTAGCTGAGGAAGGAAATGAATGAAGGGCTCTTCAGGACAGAGCCATTTCATTTCTCTGTGTGGACAGCCTGATATTCTACAGTGGACTTTCATTACGCACTCCTCAATAACTTGAACAGAGTAGGATTTTACTGGGAGCTTTGTGTGGGTGCAAAACTCGGTGCAGGGTCTCAACACATTTCCATTATTTACTCTTATTTTTCCCTTTAGAGATCTTTAATGTAAGGTTGATCTTCTTGAGGTTGTTTGCAGCAAAGCTGATTTCTTTTTTTGGTTGAAGAGCCAGAATTCCTTTTTATTTATTTATAAGGAAATATTTATCCATATTGATTTTGTTAGCTCTGTAGCACTGAGTTCTAATAATTATTTCCCTGCATCTGAAGAAACCCCTAGGCAAACACAGCCTTCAATCCTGTAGGGGATTATTGCCGGTAATCTCTCTTGTATACATTTTGTTTTAAAGAAAGCATATGTAGTTCCTCTGTGCTTCCAGCAGTTCAGAGCAAGTATTTTTCTCCTGCAAAGAGGGCTATACAAGGCTGCTCCTTAGCCATTTTCAGTGACTGTTAAGAAGATTAAAAGCTACACAGCTTTCTTAAACTTGCCAAAAAGGAGATTCTGCTGGTGAAATCTGTTACAAGACTGGAAACTGTGTCTGCCCAGAAGTCTTCTCAGAATGGAGGGGTATAATTATTTGAATAATATAATATAATTATATTATTCAAATAATAATAATAATTAATAATATAATAATTATATTATGGAGGGGTATAATTATTTGAACTCACAACTAATGATATTAATACAGTTGTAACAGAAAAATCTGCTCGAGATGCACTTAAGCTGGCTCTGATAAAAACTGACCTATCCACGATGTTACCTTGACAGAAAGGAAATCTTATTAAATCTCTTGACTTCATATATATATATATATATACATATATATATATATATATTTATGTTCCCATAAAGCAGCCATGATAGATTTCAAAGCCAAATCATTACTGATGAAAAAGGAGCACCTCACAGTCGCAGCTGATCAGTCTTTGTGGTACTGGGCATGTAGAAATGTGCCCTCCAGGATAACAGCGAGAGGAAATGAGAAGCAAAGAAGCGGAAGGCCTTGTCTGAGATGTGACAACTGGCCAGTCATGACCGTGAGACTCTTCCACCTTTTGAATTAATTTTTATTTTGGCTGTGGTTCTTTTTAATGCCTATATTCTGTGTTAATTAGTTCGTATTTTTCTATTTATTTTTTTACATGCATTGTTTGCCTTTTACATTGCTTTCTCCTTTCAGTCTGTAGTTACCAGTGCAGCTGCATTATAGGTAAGAAAGGAACTGGGAAATTAATACTAATTAGTACTTTTCTTCACTAAAACAAATTAGACCCTGTGTGAAGACATGTATAAGTGCCTCTTATCTCAGGCACCAAAGGGGTCACCATGTACATGAGCTACTTGTCTGCTTAACCCTACAGGTGCTGCACAGACAGCAGTCCCAGCCTGCAAAGGAGAGTTCCCCACCCAGAGAAGAGGCTCCTCCTCCACCCACTGAGGACAGTTGCACCAAAAAGCCCAGATCCCGCACCAAGATATCCCTGGAAGCTCTAGGTATCCTTCAAAGCTTTATCCATGATGTAGGTCTCTACCCTGATCAGGAAGCCATTCATACCCTCTCTGCTCAGCTGGATCTCCCCAAACACACCATCATCAAATTTTTCCAGAACCAACGTTACCACGTAAAGCACCATGGGAAGCTAAAAGAGCATTTGGGAACGGTGGTTGATGTGGCAGAGTACAAGGATGAGGAGCTGCTGACAGAGTCGGAGGAGAACGACAGCGAGGAGGGCTCAGAAGAGATGTACAAAGTGGAGCCTGAGGAGGAAAACCCCGACAAAAGCAAGGCAGCTCCAGCAGACATCGACCAGAGATAATGTGAGATAGGAACACAGAAAGCAATACAGTGATCCAAGGATGTTGTTTCTGTTTTTTTTTTTTTCCTTCCTCTTTTTACTTTTTGTTTGTTTCTGTTGCACATGATCCATGTGCAAAATGAATGAATTCAGCATTGCCCACTCAGACATCGCCTTGACACAGACACTTGAGTGTTATACATCCTACATGTGACTGAAGTAATCATTGTAATCACATAGGATTATGCCTTCATTAATCTTGCACTTATGAAAGGGACATCTAGCAAGTAAATGGGAAGAAAAAGTCCTATGAAATCAATGAAGGAAAAATTACAACTTTGTGTGTGTATATATATATATTTACATAAAATATATATATATTAAAATTGCATGGGACGGAACTTTACAACCTGGAAGTACAGACTGTGAAATGAGTTCTTTAAAGATGAGACTTGTTTATGTATTAAAACCACTTCACAATGAGTTGCTTTGGCTTTTTGATAAACTGCCGCCTGCTCTCAGGGTGTGGTGACTATTTTTGAATTTCTATTTATTTTCTATGTTTATCCCTGATTTTTTTTTTTTTTAATTATTATTATATGGCTTCCTATCTGGCAACTTGATGGGTAATTTTTGAGGTATGTATTTAAAGACATAAATCAACACTGCCAAAAAAAGAAAAGAGGAAAGAAAGAGAGAAAATGGAAAAACAAATCAGGGCACCTTAAAAAGAAAACTAGTAAGTTGAAGTACTTTAAACAAAATGCGCACTTAAAAGGATACAGCCTGTTCCACTATCCAGACAGTCCTTTCTGTAGTGAACAGATGAATCTTCATGAGAGTCAGAATGACTAAAACTGAAATTCAGTGCATAGAAGACTTGTCCACTAAAGAGGTCTTTATAGAAAGAGAAGAAAAATTACGTGTTGAGATTTGATGTATGGAATTCATACTATGAACCACATTTTACTGTGGATTTTATTTACTTGTTCTCTGTTTCAGATCTTAAGACTTACAAGCTTCTTTCTTGTTGCTTTTTGTTTTTACTGAAGTGAAACACGTACACACACACATGCAAGTGTAAAGTCACATTGGGACACAGAATGCCACAATCCCAACAATCCAGTCCAGGTAGATTGCTGAGAGATGAGGGGTTTGCGTTGCCGATTCCCATTCACCCTCCTCTCCAGCCTCCCCGCGTTTCTGTTTTAGCTGGGCTCCCTCTGTGTCATGCATTTTGTGCCAGTGAAATGAAGTGTTTTCAGCCACGGGTCTCCCAAGCTGCAGCCCCTCCAGCGCTGAGCGCCCGAGGTCTCCCCGCCACGGGGCACCAGGCCCTTCACACTCACTCACCTCCTCCTCGGAGGGTTTCACAGCGACCTAGCTAGCAGCTACATCGAGTTACACAAAGCAGAGCTAACACTGACTGACTCTTCAATGGCGTGAGCGCTAAAGCTGCAATCTACTATAGTTTCCGCCTGTTGTGAGGCATCATGTCGCAGGAGACACCAAGTAGTACTTACTTGTCACTTCTGGGCAAGGATTTCCCAGGAAAGACCTCACCTTCGCTACCGCCTCTGCAGCTGGATTGATTTCAGACGCCTGTTCAAACTGCAACCATAGCCATACCAACAAGGTCTCTGGTCATTTTTTTTTCTTCGCAGGCTTCTCACGTAACCTTGACAAAGACCTCATGCAATATCACTTTGAAAGTTGTTTTCTGTTTACTACACCAGGCAATGTAATATAGCTGTTAATACTATTTATATATTTGAAAGGTATAAAAGGTAGGAGATGAAAGTGAAAAACGAACCTCTATGTGTAGATATTTACTCAGAACAGACAATATACAGGGAGAAGACATTGCAATACAAGCTAATTCTAGCTGCTCAGTAACCTCTGGAATTTTTAAGGGATTTTTTCAAAAGAAATGTTTGAAATGTAAGAGTATCTCTGCATAAATCACATATACCTTTGCAAAATATTGGTGGGTTGCTTACTTAATACCCCTCTTGCTCTTCATCCTTTACTTCTGTAGTATGCTGCAGCTTTAATCAGAATTTCAATGGTTGCTGCTTTGTTTCTCTCAGAGCTACTCTTTCAAAACTGTCTTCTTATCCTGTAGCTGAAATCACTCCATACATTTGAAAGGAAACTGAATTTTGCCAAGCTACGTTAAGTTGTTCATCTGATGATGGCATCAACATTTGGTATCTTTTACACTTCAACCAAAAATTTTATTAGGTATTTTTTCAATGCTGAGTCTTGCCTTTTTATTTTAAATTTCACTGCCAATTTTGCAGTGATTCTAAGTGAATCTGTGGGCATTTTAGCCTGTGGTCTTGCCAGAACTTTGCGAATTACAATGCATATATGTCTATTTATTCAATATCCATCATATAATATCTATTTGGAGAAAGAAACTTTTCTTGTAGTGCCTCTTAACAAAGCACAATTTTCCGCCTTTTTTTGTGAAATAAAAAACAAAAAAAAAAAACAAAAAAACAAATTGTGTTTTATTGCGGTATCAACAATGTGAATAAGGATTAACATATTGTAAATGTTCTTTTTTTTCCATGTAAATCAACTTTATCTTTGTTATCACTAAGTGATAATTAATTTTTAACTTATGTGCATTGTTAGGCTGTTAGAATTTTTTGGTTGTTGAAATAAAACGCATTCAATAAATATGACTTAATTTGTCAAGTAATTTACTGGGCTTTTTAAAAATTTCTGCTGAGTTTGAGTGGAACAAGGTCTGCAGAATGGGAGGGGGGAATATCTGCATGTCAGAAGGACTGATCTGAGCGGTGCAAACAGGCTGAAAGACTCCCGTGAGCCCACCTGGGTCGGCACAGTTGACAATTTCCTATCATGCAAGACTGACCTGCCGTACCACAGGCTTCTTACGTACGTGTATGTGCACACAGAGTCTCCTGCAAGGTCTGCAGGAGGGTGTGGGTGCTGTCAGCCCGTCAGAAAACATGCTCAAAACACACAAAGATCCACTTCCAGTCTGCTGCCTTCTTTTGCTGGTAGATATTTTCTGTTTATAATTAAAAAGCCACAAATGACTGCGTGTCAGGAAACTTTTGGAGCACACATGTCCATGGTTAATGGACATAATAAAAGGCTTTATTATATTTATAGCAGGGCATCCTACTGAGTGTCTAGAGGAATGCCGGAAGGACTGATCTATCTGAGAAATGTGCGAAACAATTTTGGGGAGAATATGGATAAATGGAAAAAATTGCTCAAAATTCTTAGGCTAACAACATGGTGAGTGTCTGGATTCAATCCCAGCACACAGAGCATACAGCACATGTCAGACTTGAGTTGTCTAGGAATTGAGGTAAAGCGGTTTTTAAAGCATTTAATATTTTTCTATAGTTCTAATATAGTTTTCTTCTTTTTAAGGCATATTTACATCTTATATGAAATACTTCTGTGCTCCCTTGAGGAAAAAAAGATGGAGGAGTGGGAATAACTACGTCTTTTGATATCTAGCCACCTGCTTGTCACTTGAATTTAACCTGAGACCAAATAAAACTAAACATCTGTCTGTCCACACAGGGAACCTCATCACTTCGAAGCTGTGGACAACAGCATCCGGCCATGTGCTGAGCTCTGGAACGCAATACAGCTCTCCCTGCATCGCCTCTGAAAAGGTACTGGGCTCCCTTTGCCCCTTCCACAACAACAAGCAGGCAAAGGAGAACCAAACAGAACACCTCCAACGCCAGAGATGCAGCCTGTTTGTAGCAGCGAGTGGCTGTAAGGCAGCAAACTTGGAGTTGGAGAACTACCTTTTGTTCTCAACTGCTGGCAATGACCTGGTGCATAGGGCAGGATGGCGGGGCTGCGGCTCCACTCGCCTCAGTGGGGCATGGGCCATCCCTCCAAACTGAGCCCGTGCCTTGGGCAGCTACTGCCAAATTGTCAGTGGTGTTGGACTGGGGCCTCTGCCTGCCTGCCAGCGGGGCAAGAAACAAAAGGAGCAACAGCCCTTGCTTTGCTGATAGATAATTTTATACATGCACTCTGTGCGTGAGTGTAAATAATATTTACAGAAACACGCACACACACACTTTAATTGGGGGAAAAAAATCCTATAAACATATGGGTTTTTCTTAGAAACAGTTAAAAAAAAAAATTTAATAGCTGCTATAACAGAAATATTTCTATTAATGCTTCTAGTTCTCTATACTTTACATGCTGCTACTCCTATCTGCTTTTCATGTTTTAGTCATCCGGACATATGTATTTCCCATTTCAAACCTGTGTGAGTGAAACAGAAACATTTTAAGATCAGCTTGAAATGTTTTTAAGACAATGAACATACAGCCTATTGCCTGAAGTTCACTGTTGTTTAGATAAAAGTAACTGTTCAATCTCTTCCCACTTAGTAACCAATTATTTACACTAGACTAAACGAATTAGAATTCTTCATTGATGAAATTTGGTTTCTATCCTGAATCTGTTAAACATGCGGGGATAAAAGCTAGGTAGGTTTGACAGTGAGCAAATGGCATCTTAAAATCATAAACGAGTCATTACAAAAAAGCTCCACTTACAATATAAAGTGCAGTGATTAATTAAAGATGCAGGTTTTGACTTATTTATAGCCATTAAAAAAACATACCAGTTTTAACACAAAATAACACGAGCCAAGTCATCCAGGGGGAGAGATGCTGGCAGTCTGAGACTTGGAGAGCAGGCAGTGTGACAAAGCCAACAGGGAGTGGCAAATGCAGGCCACCCCTGAAACCTTAGGGTAAGTTCACAGCAGAGTGGGAAGAGGTGGCTCTGACGTCCCTGCCCAGCTGCTCTTCTTTTTGCCACATGCAGACCTCAGCTGCAAAGACAGTTTGAGCAAGGGAGCAACAGTTTGAGCACAGGTTTCTACAGAACTCGCCCTCCCTACAAACACACTGATGGCTGATGGACAAATGCTGGTTCTGCTTCAATGGTGGGCGTGGGTCAATAGAGCCTGAAGGAAATAATTTAGGCAGAGGGAGAAGGCGGGGAGGGGAGGCTGTCCTGCTGCTGACAGCTCACCTCTGCAGTGCCCAGCACTGCCCACAGGGCAAGGTGCATCTCCTCCGTCCCATAGCAGTGCACTACATCTGCTTCTGCCTGACAGCAGTGGCATCACATACCCTTCAGAGGGGTCTGGTCTTGATTTGAAGACCTCCAAAGCCAGAAAATTCCCCACTGCCCTCAGTAGTTTGTTTGAATGGTGGTTTTCCTCTCTACTAAACTTGTGCCCTATTCCAATGGGAATTTGGCTGGCTTTCCCTCCCAGCCTTTGTTTTTTGCTAGGCTTTTCTCTTCTGGGTGAATGCCACAGGTAGTGAAGGATGCTTTCCCTCCTCCCCTGAAGCAGCTGTTCTGTCAGATGAATTCTCCCGACTCAAGACCTTAATGCTCAGCAGAGGATAGCCGTGGCTACTTCAAGGAAAAGTCTGCTTTTGCTAATGACAGAGTTCAGTTTGACTCGTTTTTAGAGTGAATCAAGGTACTGACAAGGTGTTTGTTTTTTAATTGAAAACCGTTGGCTACAAAGAACCTTACACATTCACAGACATTGCCCACTGCTGTTTGTTACACTGCTTTATTCTGCAAATCGGCCACACGTTTGCAGCGTGTCACTTCATTAAACCTGAGCAACAGCAAACCTTTGCCCGGGAGTCAAGATGAAGCCCTCAGCTGTGCCACCTGCCCTTCATCACACAGGTGCGGGCTGCCCGGCGGCTCCCCGCGCCGCGCTCCCTCGGGGCTGCCTGCACGCGGCTGCCCGCACGCGCCCTCACACGCAGCTGCTCTCGCGCCGCCAACGGTCCTCCTGAGGCGGGAGGCAGGCGCAGCCAATCAGAAGCGACGAGAGCCGCGTCCCAGCCAAGGGGGGAGGGGAGAGGCACGGCCAGGTGAGCGCCCTGCTCCGTGTGGCCGCCATTTTAGCGGCCCTAGCGATCATTTTAGGTACCTGCAATAGAGCCTGTGCTGTGCTACGGCTGTGGCCGGCGTGGGTCCTTTTTGCCCAGGTTTCTTGGCCACGGAGCATGAGGTGATACGTGCCTGAGATCCTACTTAGCACCATGATGAGTTCTGGCACTGGGCTTTGGAGTAAAGTCCATCCCTAGAAAAAGGAGAAGTGCTTGCAGCTACCCCAGTAAAGAATGGCCGGGTCACAATCCAGCATGAAGACAAGCCTGTACTCCAGCTCTTAGGAAGCATCCTCACCTCACAGTGGAGAAGACAAAAAGCTCAGAGAAAGCGAGGTAATGAAAGATCACAACAACCAGCTGCCAGCTGGGAAACGTGTATGAATTGTAGAATCGTGTAATCACAGAATGGTCGAGGTTAGAAGGGACCCACTGGGATCATGTAGTCAATTGGTGTCCAACCTTTTGTCTGTCTGGGCTGCATACGTCTAGGTCACTCCAGAAGTAATGCCTTCTGTTTAGTTCTGTGCACTGTAACATTGTTCAATAGGGTGCATTCTCAGCTGCAAAAAACTGTTTTTCAGCATAGTCACCACCATTAGCTCTGTGTTTTTGTCAGCAATGAGCAAAGCTTACGTGCTGTGCTCATTAAAACCTGCATCAGCAGAGGTGACCACTGCCACTGTCACCACTGCTGAAACACCCCTCACTGCTCACAGACACTGGTCTCCATAAATGTGCAGCAAGTGTTGATGAATGTCAGTGGGTGCCATTATTCCTCATGGAGGAATTCAGTGACACAGCTTTGCTTCTTCTGTACTTCCACGTCAGACTCCATTTCATCCGACTGCCCCTCTACAGCTGTCTGTCACGTGGCAACAAAATTCAGCAGAATATTGGTGGGAAAGTTCAGCCTTTACTGCTGTACCACCAACAGCCTCTAATGTAGGCCAACATAGTAAAATAGAAAGCATTACTTTTGGAGCAGCCTCTATAAAACACATACTACCATTAATGTGTATAAGTAACAAGATGCTTTTATTTTTATTTCATTAAAACATAAAAAAAGGAGAGTAACAAAACCTACAACTAGGGGGATGTGTGACCTTGTATTTGTGAACCTAATGCAGTAGTCTGGTTCAGTGCCCTGCAGACAGTGGGCCTTGTACATTACGTGTTTTACCTTTAGCAATCTCTTACCCACCATGCAGCCCTGGGCTGCCTGCTGCTGCCCCATGGGAACACTGCAAATGGTGCCATGGGGCGCCGTCTGCTGCCATAACATTGTGAGGCGCACAGGAGGTCTGGCACGTGAAATTTCAGTGGATGCTGTTGTTGTGGCTGTCTTCTGTCACCGTGTACAGCGGTGAGGATGTGTGGCATTGATGACACCCTCTGCTGTTATAGTTCCATCTGTGTTTTATCTCAAAGGTAGTGGTGTCTTTTCCTCTTTGTTGCCTCTAAAAATGCACATGTGGCTGTTGGGTGACTGTTGGTTTCCTACCTGACGGGCATGGTCTTGGCAATATCCTGCTTAAGTGCCATTCCTTGTCACATCGATATCATCTATCAGTGCCCGTTGTCTTTATAGCGATCTTGAGCAAACAGTTTTATTTCCAATGAGGGCATCACACATTGATCTAAACACTCATCTGTAATGGATCGATTTACATTAGGAGAACAGTATTTTAGCATTGCCGTTCATTATATTGAAAGAAGTGTATGTTTAGTTACAGGCTAAAATCAATTAAACAGCCTTCTACCTTTTGCTGTGAGAAAGTCAACAAGCCACTCTGTCTTGGACAATTATCCATCTATAGCTCCTTAAAACAAAGGCTTCCAGCATCTCCCCAATCTCTTGGTTCTCAGTTTCTCCTTCAGAGACCCCTTCTGCAATGATTTGCTGGTTTGCAGTCTGATAAAACACTCTCAGCCAAAAGCACAAGAAATGAGCCTGCTTCTGCTGCTGCCAGTTTGGAGGGGGTTTCCTCAGGGCTGTGCAGAGCCCCACACATCCAGAAGGGAAGCCTGCATGTTCACCAGCCGGCTGCTGGTAGCACGCGCTGGTGTCTGTGGGAGATGCTGGGAAATGGTGATGGTGCTGTTTGTATCTTCATGTGTGAGAGCATTATCACCAAGTGGCCCTCATTTCAGGCGGGGAGAAAAGGAGGTATTGGGAGAAGGGGAGGAATTTGTACAGTGGGGTGGTATTTAGAATTTCAGAGTAAGAGAGAAGGCTGCAAGGAGTGCTGGCGGTTTTCTGACAAAGGGAACACGGTTTCGGTTGGTGGTGTAGCTGCAGAAAGAAAAAGATCCTGCAATTTCAGAAGCAAAACACATAGGGGAACTGCAGGGCAATGCAATGCTGGGATATGAGGAACACGTCTCGTGGGGCTCCGGCAGATTTGGCCCTGGCAGACGGAGGCATTACCTGCCCCAGCACACTGCCACAGGTCGATGTCCTCCACGTGCCCATGCCCTGCCTGCCACGTGTGTCACCATGTAGGGCTGCCTGGATGAGTGCTGGACACTGAGCTCTGTGCCCCAGTGCAAGCTTCCAGCAGCGTGTGCCTGTCAGCAGCCATTGGCACAGCTTGTGGGCTGCTCCGGACCCGTAGCACTATGTGTATATGTTTACATCTACACAGATTCCTTCTCTACCACTCAGGCCACTCCAGCTCTCGTCATACTCTTTCATTATGCACACAAAACACTGCTGCAATGCTAATGATAATAATGAAAGGGAAGGAATAGCAGATATTACAAAGCTTATTAAGAAATTGATCTTTGTTTTTCTCTTGAATAAAGAGGCAGACCTTGAAACTGCTGAAGCCATTCAGATAATTGGTTATTGGCTCTCTTGAGTGATTATATCCACCTCCGTTCCACCAAGTTCAGCAGGTCTCGTGCTGGTCAATTAGCCTTTGGCATCTGCGAGAGAAAACCTCTGAGAGGTTTTCTCAGAGCCAGTTTCTGCAGCATACGGTGGCCTGAGCAGGATATGTTCTCCATCTGAGTGCTCACAGTCTGCCACTGTACTTGGGCATTTTGGCCTGGCCCTCTGAGGAGAGGCATGCTGATAAGGAGAAGAATCTTCCTCAGGGGATGCCCTGCAGGAGGGGAGCCAGTTTGAGCAGGGTTTCCTCCACCTGGCACGCACTGAGGCCTGGCTCTTCTGTGGGCCAAGCAGAGCCACAGAGCCTGAGCCTCACACTGCACTGCTGCCTGTGGCTACTCTGGTGCTGCACATAGGTAAGGCTGCATGCTCCCCTAGCACTGCAACTCCCATCCCTTTGGCATCACCAGGGCCGTGTGGAGCTAAGCAGCTGATGCCGTATAGTGGCTTTTTCTGCCGAGCACTCAGTCTTGCCGTCACCGTGATGGCTTGCCAAAGGGCTCCAACACTTGCATTGCTGTGAGGCAGACCCTGTAATAATCGTTGGTTACATTCAGAGAATTCAGTTCAGATTTTAAAACCTCATCAAATAGTTAATGACTGACTATTTCAACACAGAAGTTCCTGCAAGACTTGAGAGAGAAGAGAGAGTGAGATGGAAAAGTTATTCATGTCCCATCTGTCTGGAACGCTTGTCCCCTCCCTCCCACCCACTGAGTCACTTCCTCTCTTTATATCTCACTTAAATATTTTTTCCCCTTTAGCTTATGATTAACAGGCATTCACCCTCTGCAAATTGTCTTTTTTTTTTCCTGATGCAGTGTTAAAGGTTCTGTGGGTAAGCAGAACACATCTTGCACATAGATGTATGGGCTGAAATGCAGTATATGCTGCATTCAACTGTGTAAATCAACTGCTGCAACATTCTGTTGGTGGTGCAGCATTCCATAGCCACCCAAGGAACGCTCAGTATTCTGCCCCAGTGATTTTGTCCCACTTGTCCAGCACCTAGAAGAGAGCTTTGGCAGCATCAGCTTGGCAGAATTGTGGGGCCTGACCCAGGTGGGTGTGTGGGGTGGGCTGGAATTACTTGTTTTGGGGTGGAGATGCTGAGATGACCTAGGTTGGTCCACCCCACTCCACCTCACCTGAGGCTGTCCCAATCACTGCTGTGCTGCTAGAGTCTAAGAGAGCTCTCTGTTAATATCAGGTGATGAAGAATGAGAATAAGGTGCCTTGCAAGATAGGACAAAGACCTGCTTTCCAGTGGTGTCTTGGCTGGGAGTTCACAGCCTTCAGACGTGTAGCAAGTAGGGGAGGTGGGCTACCTAAAACTCCTGGAGGAGGAGAACAGGTTGCTTCCAGGATGAAGAGACCCGTGTGCTTCCTGAGTACGTGTGTAAGGTGGTGGGGATCATTATCATGAGGCTGTAAGCTGTATGTAGATGGAGGCTGAGAGGAGGAAACAAACCTCCTTAAACAGGTTACATAAATTACTGAGGCTTTCTGGTGAAGGGTGAGAAGATAAAGCTCTATGTTGGGTGCTACAGAAACCTTGCATATGCTCTACCTGCCTCAGCCGTATTGCATGTGGTTCAGAGATGGGATGTTCTATCTTCTTGGTACTTGTACTGCAGGAGAAGTCTTGCTCTCCTCAGGGATGTTGGGTCTACAACTCTCAGGAAAAATAACTTTGCTTTGTTTTAAAGCCAAACACTTGAGCGGCTCTATCTGACTAGGATAATTCACAGAGAAACACCAGTAGTGAGTGCTCAGTGACTACTAGCTGCTGCCTTTTTCAGTAATCCTTTTTTGCAGCAAGATCCCCCTGCCTTTTCTGGTTCCAGTCAGTTGGCCATCAGCTAACGGGTGATGGAGAAACCTGGTTACCGTGTCTGCTGTGCGATGCGGTGCAGACCGGGGCACAGATGTGTCACACAGGCTCTGCAGAGTCGGCTTGGCTCCTGCTGGAGGTTTTAGCTGTGTGCAGGTTCTGCAAGGCCACGGGCTGGCCCTGTGCCAGCCTCCCAATTCCAGAAGCTTGCTGCGGGGGTGCCCAGGCTGCCTCTGCACTGGCACGGCTCCATCAGTGCTTTTTTTGGCTCTGACTCCACAACCAGTGAAGGTAGCTGTCCTGTCCCCAGCCGTGGACATTACAGAGAACTGGAACTGCCTCATAAGCCCTGTCCTGACTGGCCTCTGAGTACCTGGGACCAGTGTCTTCATCTTATGTGCATGGATGGTGGTGAGGGCGGGCTGGGACAAGCGCAGGACCTGAGGGGGGCCTGCCTTTATTGTGGCTTCACCAGGCGTGGCCCTGTGCCTGTCAAACACCAACAGTTTCCCTTGAAGAACGGTGCTGAGGAGGAATACGAAGGCCCTGTGGCAGTGGGACAGAAGTGAAAGTTTACGTCTTTTTGCTTTCATGACACCTAATGAA